CTTTTCAACCGTAACTTGGCTTAATTGATTTTATAAAAAAAAAAAAAATCAAGACAATCGAAAACACATGTGACCGAATCCTAGCGCATGTGCTCGAATCGTTGATATACACTTGCACTGACAAAATTTGCGAATCACTGGTTTAACGATGACCGGTTGCTAATTATTTGCAGGTACTACACGACAATAAGCAGCGCAGAGCAAAGAAGACGTTACAAGGCAGAATTCAACGCGGACTACGAAGAATATCGAAGGTTGCATACTCAAGTGGCGAAGGTTTCTAAACGGTTCTCGCAACTCCAAGACCGATTAAGACAAGAAGAGGCCTCTGGGAACTGGGAAGAATATCAGGTATCCTTTCGCAAGGACATATTATTCCTGAGACGATGATACTTATATATTTGATAACATAGCAATATTATCTCCATAAATCTGTTTAATATAATATCAAGTTCATGTTCTGCTTTTTTTTTTTTTTTTTTTTTGGACATACAGATGTTATTAACATGCGAAGCTACATGTCCTCGAATCTTGGCACATGTGCTCGAATCATCCTCATTATCAAATATATATCTTCTCATCGCAAAGAAATTTCATAACCAGTTTAACCAAAGATGACTAACGTTCCGTTTTCGTTCGTCTGTTGCAGGGAATAAGACAGCAGATTCTGTACGAGTATAACGAAACGAAACGGGACCCGGTACACAAGGAGACGAAACGTCGGTTTCACTATCTGCACGAGAAGCTAAGCCATATCAAACGGCTGGTACTCGAATACGATACTCAAAACTGCGGCGGCAACATGGTGACGGCGTCCGGGAACAGCGCAGACGGTAGCAACGAAATGAAGGAGATGGACAGTTTGCACTACTGACACAAACTGAAAAGGCCGCCTCTTATCCTCCACCTTTTCTCGGTTGTCGGTACACTGCTGTCTCCGTTGTCGCAGAATTTGCATTTTCTCGGCATGTTCCAAGGCTGATCTAAAACGGTCCACATGGTTCCTGGGTTCTATCGCCGAAAAATAAAACACACACACACACACACAGTCAAGCACTCTGAGAGCCGGGGTCGCAAAAGATGTTCACATCATCCGCATCGCAAGAGAAACGAAAAAATGAAAAAATATGAAAGAAACCTTCAACGCTGTTAATAACCGCCCCCCTCCCTGGTCAGGTCGAAGATTTCTCGGTTAATTGACACAGCGATCTCTTCGACTTGCGCCCGTGTTTGTCACACGCCTACCGTTGACCAATGGGTTTAACCACTGACGAAGCCTTTACGACAATCGGTACGTTTGCAAACAAACAAACAAACAAGCAACATCATCAACTGTTTAAAAAATGAAAAACATGCAAAACGAAAGGAAAGAAAAAAGGAAACAAAAAGTCCATCCGTATAGAGAGGAAACGAGAAATAAGGGCATTCGCGGAGAGCCGGTTACAATAACGCGCCAGCTGAAAGTACGAAGACGTGTCTTTTTTTTTGTTTTTTTTTGTTTTTTTTTTAAAAAAAGCTATCCTCCGACGATAGGGAAGATAATAGGAACGACGATGAAAGGCAATGAAGAGAATGCAGTAATTAACTCTACGATAAGTTACTTACCCGTGCGCACGTCCAAAGTGTGTCGTCCAGTTTAAGAGTACGTAGATTAATGAAACAAAAAGTAAAAAAGAAAAAAAACGATGCAATGCGAATGCGAGAAGAGGGTCCAAAAAAAAAATGGTAGTAAAAGGGCTTAATCACGTGCCACGTCCGGAGGAGAGACTGTACTTCCATTTTTCCGCCGGAAGGAGAAAAGGGAGACTAGCACACACAGACTGTCCACGAGCCCGCCTGCGAGGATCGTCTGCGATTGATCCAGCGGGGCGTAGCTCGCCATTTTCTTTCCTTCAATTATTTTTTTTTTTTCTCTTCGTTTAAACGTTTCCGTATTTTTCGTGTTTTCCCTTCGAGAAAGAGTAAAGTGGATCCGATATATAGTTTGTCGCAAGAGAGAGAGACCTTTACGCTTCGCGAATGTAAAACCTTTGTTACTTCCTCGTTCAGCGGCGTAGCCAGCGTATCCCTGGGGCCCGTGGAATGAAAAATTAACGGTGGAACAAGCAATCCGAGGTTCGAGTAATATTACAGAGGAATCGCCAACGGTACCTGCGATCAATATTCGATAGATTGAACCAAATTTCTATCTGAGATATTACAGGGCCTCGATATCCACCATTTATCGGACGTGCGTCTGCAAACAGCCACGTTCGCAATTTTAAAACAATCAAAGATCAATCGATACCGCGTTCCTTTCTGTTTGTTCGTCTGGGGCCCCTGAAGTTAATCAATGATATAGTTGCGCCGCTGTCCCTCGTTCTTTGTTTTCTTCACTACGGCCCGCTCCTGTGTCGCGGACTCGGGCTACCTTTACTAGTAGAGAGTTGGCACAACTTGAGAATCGATCGCGCGAAAACGGCAGACATGAAGAAAGGACGAAACATGATTGCTAAGGACTCAGTTTTATTTTTGTTCTTTTTTTTTTTTAGAAATACCTGCCATAAAGTGATATATTAACCGAGCAAATCAACCGATCGCGCCCCGGTTCGTTGAACTTCTGTCAGCGATAGGCGAGAGAGGCAGGGACTGCGTCGATAGTCGAGGGTCCCAAACCACCCCCCCCAGGTCCCTACCGATTCGCGCGATTGCTCTTAGTGATTCCGGTTCTGTATATCGTAAACGCTAGGGTAAACCCATTTTTTACTATTTCAAGTTAGTCATTGAAAGGGAGAATGCTCAGCGCCATCGTCATCGATACTGCAAAGATTTTACACGCGGCAACATGAAAATACAAAAAAAAAAAAAAAGAAAAAAATGAAAGAAACGAGAGAGATGAAATGAAACGAAGTGGTATGAATATATATTGAAACGTACAGGTTTCATTTAGTAATTATTAATCGTCGCCGGCGATATAACATATTAGTATACAATGTACAGGTGCGCCAATTTTCTTCGCGTGCAAGTAATACCTTCTTCGTGTAATTATTATTATGGCGATGAATACTATTAATATTATTATCAACGCTATTGCTATTATATTATTGTTCGGATAGATAGGTAGGATAAGTAAACGCGAGAGCTACGTTAGGACCTAGAACTCGTACGAAGACGAATGAGGAGAAATGATGTTAGATATATACGGGGTGATTCGTAACTGTGCGATCGATACTTCGGATGTTATATATCGGAGCACGAAACAAGAAAAAATTATGTTAATGGAACATAGGATAGCAAGGGTTTATTACCTCTTAAGTTACGATACGTTGCAGGAAAACACGCTACTGACGTTTATTTAGATTTATTTTCAATTTCTAAACGATTTGGATTTATTTACAGTTTTATAATATACAGCCGTGTTCCAAAGTATTGCGCACATGTATTACGTATTCTCTGCGAACCACTTCTCAATTTTCTTTGAAGTATGACAAAGATCGGTGTCTCGTCGAAGAATATAGTCCTCGTATTCCAATTCGAACGTGCAATGCAGAATCGTCGTATTCATTCGACCATAACATATATAATACTTCTCCAATCTCCGAAACTGTCTTAGAGCACCAGATCACGATACTTCCACTACCATAATACACCATAGATATAACATAATAATCGGAATAATAGATTTTTCTAATCTTATATTTTATATGTCATGGTTCACGTTTAACATAATCTAAGAAAAAAATTAATAAATTCTTTTATAAGTCTATAACGTATCAAATACGATAAACATTTTAACAAACATTCACGTGCATTTTAATCCTAATGTCCAATAGCACACATATACTTCAAAGTTCTACGAGAAATACTTTCGAACACCACTGTATTTACAGATAAAGAAATTGTAAAATTTCTTTCCTACCATCCATGAGATTAAGTACGCTGCTCAAAGTAATTAGGGGCCACTAAAACGACTTCATCGCTTAGTACGTTATTCAATATTTTAAATACTCTGACACGTGGCGTATATGCCATTCAGCAAAAAAAAAAAAAAAAAAAAAAAAAATTAAAAAAATAGTACTATTTTAACCGTACAGTACTTCTTTCATCTCTGCAGTTTGATTCGTTCCACCCATAAACGTGAGCCCCTAATCCTACCGAGCGGTACATTGGGCATTCTGTGATCGAATGCTTATCACCTCCTCCCTGAAGTGATAAAACGATTGAGGACTGAATACACACATACTCCAACTATGAATACGCGTACAACATAGTGTTTCTTTTTTCTTTTTTTTTTTTTTTAATGAATAAGTCACAAAATGCTTCTTTCCTTTTAATTCGATATAAACTGCGAAAACAAATCACGAATAATATATTGCGTAACGTATTTTTCTTGTTTCACAATCTAGATCCCAGATTCACTCTCCGAAGTATCGAGGCGCGATCGAACGCCACCCTGTACAGCCAATGTTTTCCATTGAATGTGTAACGAAAGTTTATGACGTTAATGTTTCTGATGTCCTTTTAATCTTTCGCTATATATATATATAATATATACGCGCGTTTTATTATTATTACTATTGTTCTTGATTGCGTTTTTGTTTTTTAGTCGACGTTGCCTTTTAAATTCGTATAAGATACGAGTGTCTTTCTTGGTTGTGCCGTTTTGTTTCACATTCAATAAGCATTTGCACTTGGACGAGCAAGTTTTGTGATAGGTGATGAGAGACGACGGAAGAAGGAACTTCGGTTCGCGTCGATTCGGTATAGCGCGCACTGTCTTTCGTTAAAATATGGACGCAAACTCGGGGTTACGTAATTCAAAGCACAAAAATAATGCGAAATAGTTCGAGCAAGCATTTATCGTGTCTGGCTATGTTTTCGAGCGATAGGTATTTTTGTATAGCACCGATTGTTCGTGCATCTTCCATAGGAAAGAATCGGTAAACGTTTCAACGCGTACGTGTATTTCGAAGAGGATCGAAAATTGGTGGATTCATGAAATATTACAAAAATATTTATAATTAGTAAGAGCATGACATCGAGTAGTCAGAGGAAAGGAAGAGATGGCGTTCGATAGACGATTAATATCGTTTGAACGTTATTGAAAAGCTAAAACGCCTCCAACTCGACAGCGACGTCAAATGGGATAAATATTCATAAGAACTTAATTAATTATTTTCGTGCAACGAATTCACCTGGCTCTGAAATTACGCCCAAATTTTGGAAAACAGCCTGGTATCGCGCGTACATCGTCAATCACAGAGAAAAACATCGTATAGAGCTAGAGAACCTAGCGTACTAGCCGCGCTCGTGAATGATAACGACGAAACGACACGTTCCCAATTAATTAACTAATCACGAGCTAAGCAATTGAATAATCCACGATACCGTACATCCATAGTTCTTAAACGATAAGGTTTTTACACTCTTACGATACAATTTTAAACGATACTTCTTCCCGCATGCGATCAATAATCTCGAATCGACCACGATTGCTCGCAATCGTTTCTTTATTTACACATTTACCTATTACGAGTCGCTCTCCCCCGTCACCCTCCCCCAGCGTATGCGATGGAAATCTAAGAATGCGACTTTATGTTATTTAAACTGTTTCTCTTTCTTCTTCCTTTTTGCGCATTTCGTTTAAGCATGTGAACCACGTTTAACTATTAATCTTTTCTTTTTCTTTTTTTTTTTCCTTTTTTTTTTTTTGTTCCCTTTACTTCTATTCGTTTACTGTGTATGCTTGGTAGAAAATGTAGAATTTAGGATACGACGATTATCGGTGATTCCAATTGTCGTCGACGGTTTTACGTTTGACATGTTGCCAATTAGGTGACGAGACGACGGTTCGATAGTGATTTGTACAGAACGAAAGTGGTTCCCCTGTTATGTTTTCGTTTTCGCTGAAATTCTATGTCGCGCACGGACACGGTCACGTTGCGCTTTTAGTTCTCGCTTTTATCCAAGCCGCCGCCGCCGCCGCCCCCCCCCCACAGGCATTATTTATATAAAAAATTCACCCGGGTACGATAGATTTCGCACGTTCGCGGCAACGTGACGATCACATCGAGCAAAAAAAGACACTTTTAGTCATAGTTCTTCGGAGTGTTTCTTTTTCTTCTTTAGATCGTTAACGGTTCGAAATTTCCATGCGATTATCGAAATTTAGTTCTGGTCAGGTCGACGGTCGTTTCGTTTATTAATTTCAGCGTCGTCTCCCCATCCTCCCATTTGTGTAACGAATTAAAGCAAAGGAAAAAAAAAAAAAAAGAAGATAATACGTTGTTTCGTATCATTTACGCTCTTTACATAGGATTTCGTTTGTCTCCGTCTACTGTGCAATGTATCTCGGCTCGTTACGTTCCGTTGATTAGAGTAATGTCGATCGAACGAAATGTGTACGTCGTCCAAAGGTTCCGCGTAGATGCTTTAAGATTATTTTTCGTGAAACGTCGATAGCGGATTTCACACGGTCGAATCAGATGGTTTATAATCATTGAGAAACGCCTGGAGAGAGAGAGAGAGAGAGAGAGAGAGAGAGAGAGAGAGAGAGAGAGAATTTTAACCGAGCGCTTCTGGAATGCATGGCACAGTGTTGACAAGTCGTCGTCCCCCCCTCACCCCCTCCCCCGGCAAACCAATTGCAACGAATTTAACGAAATGCAAAGCACACAGGAAAGAACGTCAGGATAACTATGCTAACCTATTTATATATATAACTATATCTATTATAAGTAAATAAATATAAATATATATATAAAATCGTATATGTACGATTATGGAATCTATCGTGTGTGTGTTCATAGGTAAATTGAGAATTGTAAAATCGAAATAACGTCGTCGGAATATATGGGTTGTAATTAAAGGTACAGGAATTGGTTAATATATTTCGTTGTTATGAATCGGACTATGTTCCGATTTGTAGATATAAATAATATAGGTATCCTATTTTTTGCTCACTTTTTCCTTGCATTTACAAACGACAACAAAAAAAATACAACAAAAAAAAAATACAAGATATGTAATAAAAATTATGAAATATTGACTCATGCGTGTTTCCTTTCATTCTCACTCATTTACACTCTCGACCGTCTTTTTTTTTCCGTCTCTTTGTTTTTGTTTTTTTGTTTTTTTTTTTTTTGTAGTGAAAAAATCGGCGAGTAACGGGGGAAAACGATACGTACGGAAAACGTTCAAGTTCGACGGAAAATACGAGAGAGAAACGAAAAAAAAGAGCAGTCATGGAAAAAGTGGAGAAAAATAAAACGGTTCCCGTCCGTTAACAACACTGTCATACTGTGCCATGCATATCCACTTCGGTGTACGATGGTTCAGTAGGAAAAAGAAAACTTTTACAGTAAACTCTTGTGTGACGTTCACGCGTAGATCGTCAGTGCCGAGGAAAATTATAAATTCAACGATGCACGTCGCATGGATCTTCGCCTGAACTAATTCGAAACAGTGTCTGTTAGAGCTGTTTTGCTGGTGTATTAAATTCACATTCTTTAAGTTTTTTTTTTTTTTCTATTTTTGGTGGGGACTAAACCACTCGATAAAGTATTTGTTAAGTATTTGTTAACTAAGTAAAAGTTTCGTATAATAAGTGAAGAAATTTTACTTAGGCGCTCTTATGCTTTACTCGTAGTTTCAAATATCGATTAATTTTCTAATACTAATTTCAAAAAGTAATAATTCGTCGATGATTAAAATTCAAGCGATAGAACAAAAATGTAATGATCGGAAAATTCATATTGAAATCTTAGCACAAGAAAATGGTTAATTAATTTCTTTTTCCCTTCGATTAGCTTACGCATGAAACTCTAACGGCACTGTTCTATCGATCTACCGAACAAATCCCTCACACTTTGGAAAACTTTGGCCTCCGATTTCGCAACGTCGCATAAATAGCATTAAATTTTGCATGCAATTCATGTGTCTAACATCAGTGGCAATTAACATGTGTTAACCCTTTCGCCGCGCAAGAGCGCTCAATGCAAACCAAACTATAATTACTTTGATCGCTATCAAATATTTCGTCATTCGCGAGTGTTTCGATGATAGAATAAGAGTTACCGATTGCACGTGATTCATAAATGTACCTA